CTAAATTAACAGAAATAATTTATCTTTTTCAGAGATGCAACACTGAACGAGCCAGTTGTAAACGGGACGAGAGTAACTGTGAGCATTTAATCTCTACACATAATATATAATACATTTCCTGTTACGATCGACGACCACCTAACTTGGAAAAACCTATTCCAAACCTGTAAGATACAATACTGGAGTGCGAGATATCCAGCATGGGGAGATTTTATGTTAATCAACGATACTTCATATGCACTATAAGACCAGATTACCACGACAGAAGGCCTGCGTAACACCATCATTTTATATATATTATACCCACACTTCTGATACTATTCTTTCTGACTTGAGGGCAATTTTAAAACTGTGAATGGCTCGCAATCTGCATTATATATAAGATTCGTCCCGCAAGATTTGCATACTGATAGTACATCTAGTCTAATAGTCTCTCTTACTCAAGAGCCTTGTGCAGTAATTGAAGGTTAATAACGCTACTTTTTTTTTTTTGATATTATCTATGTTTCAGTAGACGAAAAAGAAGCTCCGGTCGAGGGTCACTGGTATAAACGACTACGTAGTCAACTTTGCACGTGTGTTCGGCCTCAGGAGCACTAGCTAGATGCTGGTGCGCCCACATAAATTAACTAGAGATAATTTCTGTCTTATTTTAATAACTACATGCCAAGTGAATTGTTGTGGGCTTATGTGAATAAAGTCGCGTCGATACTTGCTTTGGAATAATAAAAATGAGCGGATCTTCTAAATCGGTACGTTGGATGCCGTCCTAAGCATTTCAACACAAACCGATCTATTATGAGTTCCTTACATGTCGAGCGACAGCCTTAGTAACTTCCCAATGACATCCCACATTGAGCTCAGCTGCGATCTGCTTTGTTAAAACCCTAGACATAAAAACAAAATAAGAATGGCTATTTTTCCTATGTTCACAATTTACACTTAGCAAAGCCTCAGTTGCCACTCTACCGGGTATTTGTTAATACCAGAAGTTACTCTCCAGGAATTTTCACTATGCTTAGCTTGCAAATTACCACACGTTCTAGCTGAACTATATCCACCCGTATGTGGATGCTGAGAAATACTTGAAAATTTTCGTCGCCTCTCACAAAAAGGTGTCCTTTTTTAATAGTACACAGGTAGTTAAAAGTAATTCAATTCAAAATTCAGAAACAAATAGTTTTTTTTGTGAAATTCTCCTTCATATTGCGATCTAGCCTTTTGTAAATCTGTAGTGCTTTTCCTGGGAGATTCTCATTTCTTTGACCCCTCCAAGTAGTAGTTAAAATGTTTATAAATAGGATGGTCTCTTCATTAGACGAACATTTCTGAAAACGATTTTCTATATAGGAATAGAAAAAACCTCTGGGTATCAATTTTTGTAAGTAGGCTAGGTGGCCTATCAACTCGAACGTGAATTTTCGTTATGACAACCGCTAAAATCTGAAATTTTTTTCCATTTTCTCGGTTCTGACACCAACACCTACTGACACAAACAACTACCGAACTGAGCGCCCGACACAACTAAAATCATCACAACTACTATACATCCAGGCATAATTATTTAGGCTGAATAATTTACGACCATTTTCATGTTTAGGCTGCAGATTTTTCAGACTACCTGTACGTTTTCAAGTGATCACACTTCGTGTTAAAAACAGGCTGCGCCACATAGGAAACTTAGCAACACTTTGGCTGCAAGTGAACAAAAAATTTAATGATACTACGCGGTAGACTGAAATGCGTTTGAATTTAGTCGTTTGTTAAGCGGCCCACGATGCCCACTATAAAATTACTTTCCGAAGAGGCCAGGGGCTCAATGTCGAAGCCGATGCTAACCACCATCTATGGCTTTTAACTTAGGTGTATAACAAGGTAATGGCATTTTCGTTGTGGGTTATCTAGAGTAAATTTTGAGGTTGATGAGTTCATGTTTCTAGATACGGTACATCTAGATACGGTAGGAATGGTGTTGACAACCGGACCACAGAATATCAGATCGGTTTCTATCGGCACTCTTTGCTGCTTAGAATGTTGCGCGTGCACAGGCTAAGTATTGAAGGATTAGCGCATTGACGTTATAAAATAACGGAGCTTTTGTTTAATCAGCCACGTATTAGTTTCGTTCGTTCGATCGATCCATTTTACTCTTTCCACTCACTGGTCAAGCAACATAATTTCATCCCCTACCAAAGAAGCAGTCTGATAATATAACATCAGTTAAACAGTGTTTTTGGGCTTACATGACATTTGTTGGGGTGCAAACTTAAAGAGTATCCAATAAATCGACTTGAAATCCGGGTACTATTTCATCAGTGGTCCAATCAGTTACTACATTCGATCCTAATAAAAATGAATTGCGCGTCAGTTTTCAGAATATAGCTTTTACCGCTGTTTATAATTGAGGAACAGTCTAAACATTTGAAAATGGAACTTTTTGCAAACTCAACTTGACCTAACATTGTCTGAAGAACACACCCAAAAAGCTCGGTCAGAAGTAATGTTTATGAATATCTATTTCAGAAATGTGTATTATGAACACAAAGTGATGAAACAATTATTCAGCCCTATTGAGGGTTAACCAGCGTTTCACTTGTTTCAAAAGTAGCCTTTTACAGAGCTAATTTTCGCTTTTGTTCTATTACTACGCTTATTTAAAAATTGAAACCTCAATTAAAATCTTAAACGAGCGGTGCAGTTTCTGAGTGAAATGTCGCTGATAAAGCTATAGTGTCTGACGAAGTGTTAGATTATTAACTGGACACAAAGGTCAAGCACTCTCTATAAGACATGTAGACTGACAAGATTGTTTTGACTCAAAATGGAGCGAGGTCACAGGATGGGAAGCGCGAAATTTGAAATTTTTTTATAAGCACGATACGCCTATCATTGTTGTAATAGATCAATGAAATGGCTAACTCCTATGGCACTCGAAATTCTCAATATAGATCGAAATCTATAGCTTACTACTTCGATAGAAACGATCATCATGCACAGGCGTAATACGGTTGTTTCCCAAAACGCGTACTAGCAAGTTTAGGACGTTAAAAGATTCTTAAGCATAAAGCAGCAAAAATGATCTAAAAAGCCTTTGTCCCAGGTAGACGTTTGTAAACGTAGCAAAGTATCTGGGGCAAAGAAAGAGTTCTAAGATGGAATGCTGCTTAAGAACAACCGATATACACACAGAGATTAGAGAAAATATATTCTACAGAGGGAGCTCTTGGACCTTTGAGACTAGCCTTCGATGCACGCATAAAGACCATTCGTAAATACCTAACCGTAATTGTGTTCCATAGTTTTATTGCAGTTTCTTAGGTAATAAAATAAACGTTTGCATGATGATAGTTGCAGGTTTTGTTAAGTTCAACTAATTGCTAATATAGCTAGGCATAAAATTATCGAATAATCAAAACAGGACTTCAACTGTGCTTAGAATACTTCGTTCTTAGCTGCTTAAATATACATTTGCACGCAAGAGTGTTACTCTGTTCGATGAAGTTCGCCTGAAGATCAACCTATTTTTGCTGGCTTTCATGATATGAAACAGATCGGTGATAATTATAAAAGCAAGAATAAATATTACAACAACAAAACTTAACTGGCTGATGGACGGTTACATAAAGTTACATTACGGTTACATACATATCTATATTTCCATAAATATCTAATAATTTTGATTATTTTTTACATTGAGTCGTTCGTAATGAGCTGGTAAATTTGCTGGTACTAGTTAGAAACTCATAGCACGATATTTCTATAATAACTTGGAGCAAGCATAACTTGGGCCTAAATGTTTCTCTTAATTTCGTACCGATATACAGACACTATACAGGCAGTATGTTCATTATACTCTTGTATTCCTTGGTACCAAGAAACATGCTGAAAGGGAATTGAGAGACCGTTTTTCTAGTGCCCTTTGTTCAGTGTATAGGGTAAACAGGCTTCTAATTTTGGAGAAAGTCCCAACAGGTGGAAAAGGCTCCGAAGTTGTATAAACACAGTTTGTTTTTGTCTGATTTATGAGTGATAATCTGTATGCCCTGAAAAGTCTACATCAGATGGCCGACCTGAGTAAGCTACATTCTCCAGGTCTGAGATAGCATCTTTAGACTTAATAACTTATTTTTGAACGGATCTTCCGAACATGGAGTGCACGTCGTCAATAACACACATTTCACACGCCATTTAACTGGCCCTTTGACTCCGGCAAAAGGCGAGGCAAAATAGGTATTGCAAATGCGCTTCTCCTTCGCCTGAAATATTTGTGCTCCAAGCCTAAACTTAAGATACCATAAACCCTTAAAACATAAAGATAATATATGAAAAAAACAGAAACAGCAAAAAGGTAAAGGGAACAGTGAACAATCGAAGAAACGAAACCATCATTAATTTTTGACCAATCTAATATGCATGCATTTATTTGCTTAACTTTTTCTAATTGTATGATTAAAAAGCGTCGGTAATTTCTATAGGAAGATTTTCTTACCGGGTATCGCAGATATTCTATAGCGCATCATCTATATTTCTAGTTGTATTATACTTAGTATGTTAGAGATCACCCGATAGTATCACGGGTACCGTTCTTTGTCTCTCATCACGGTATTCTCCCCCTCTAATCAGCCTGATAGCTAACGAGGCGAGCTAACGTTTGTCGACGATTGTCATACTTCTTTTCATGCTAGAATTCGTTTTCTTCAAGCAGAGAAACCCCATGTTGTAGTCAGTACAGCAAAGATGGACGAAATGCTTTAACGCCTGCGCCCACTTTGAAAAAGTCTCTGCTTGAGGTTCTGTATGTTTTTGGTTCCTACGCCGCCTTGACCCTGCTGTGATGACATAATGAAGTCTGGTAAATCAACGCCCATCATAACTGCAAAAGAATAGAACGGACGACAGATAACAACAATTTTTGCTTAGTACTTGAAAGATGGTCAATAATTGCAACATTATGTACACACACGCACCGTATTGTCGTTTAATTTCAAAACGATATCTAATAACATATTCCGCAAGGCTTGGGACCCAATAAATATTATTAATTTATTTGACTTGTTTATATTTATTTAAATGGATATATTTCGTTAAAGGTATCCCAACGTTCCCAAATGAACTGAAATGGAGACGCAGTCACGTGGACCATGGTGAAGGCGTTGCCCACCGCCCATCTATGTCGCGACTGAAATCGATTCTTTTTAGAAACTGCTATCAGAGTCAAGTGGGCGTAACTTTCATTAGATACTAAACTGAACCAGGTAGTATAACTAGATTATTAACTTTAAGGGACCGATTTTACGAATAGCATGACTCTGGGCCTCTTGGGGGACCCAATGCGGTAAATGAAATCTCAAAAAGATTTATGTCCATACCAGCGGACAGGAAAAAGCCTGCTGCGGCCTATAGGAAGGCTCTATGGATCATCGGATATTTTAGCTATAAAATCAGTTATGATAGCCTAAATGTACATACAACTGTATATGTCTACGCCTTTGTCCAAGATGCACATCCTAACAGGAATACAGATATGTTTCGGATTTGCCCTAACGCGTCACTACCTGCTTCGTACTGCCTTAGGAAAAAGAGCCTATAATCTACGGGAATCTATCACCTCTTTTGATGTCTATAAGAATGCGAACACGCATAATTCAATAGATTTCTTTTTGAAGAAGCTTAGAGTTAATGCGTTATGCATACCATTATGATAAGGCACACTGAGATCCTTTCACACTGAGCTCTTAACCTTGTACTCGTACGCCTTGTTCGAAATTAGATATGATATTAGGTCAAGCGAACGCTTGCGGAAGGCGACCCGTGAATTCTGATTTGTGACTTCATGCATGTAAACCTTATCATTCTGCCACCCTATAGCTGTCAGAGACCATTAATATGAACGAGCTGGCAGTGCAGAAAATGAAGACAAAGTTGAGAAGAAAGGAAAGCTTGTGAATCTGCTTCTGGCATTTGGATTCAAATCGTTGAGTGGATAACAGGTATTTTGCACGGCAGATCGCTCCAAGTAAAACTGAAAGAGTCTTGTGCTCTGCGTAAGCGAGTTGCACGGGACTTTCGATAGTTTTGCTATACGTCCACTCTATCGTGCCTCTGAACAGCGATGTTAAAATGCAACCTTACGAAACAAAGATCTGTACAGAAATTGACTGCCCTGATCAATGGTGTAAATGTTAAAGGGTATTGATTACACAGGCGTAGCCTTGAGAAATGATCATCCTGCCTAAACTGGTATCCATTTATTTTACTATTAAAAATGACGATATTGTTTTTTTATCTTATCGTCATTATTTCATTAATTTTGTTCCCACGGGGTATCTCACGCATTAAAAATATATGAGCCGACCTTCTAAAAACGGTGCACTGAGTGCAAACAAAATATCAACTGCTCGTTTTCGTTTACAATCGAATCGACCTAGCATAAGGTCGAACGCCACAGGCGCCACCCCCTCTTTTCCGGCATCATGATGCCACATGGTTATACTACAATTGTACGGAACAAAATGTTTCTTTTACTTCGAATGATTGGGCGGACGTTATATTTTATTGTTGCAATGTTTTTATGTATTTCTACGGAATAATGTCAATGGGATAGTGATACATGACAGGTGTTACACGTATGCACAAATGCAACATAAACTACACTATTCAGAAGTAACCTCAGCTAGGATTCACAGCTAACCGTCTAAGCACTATGGCCCCTGATTTTAGATGTCAAATATGAAAAAGGGTACTATAGACAGAAATGTGCTCATTATACAACATACTAGCGCAGAATCAATGTATTCGCTCTACATCTATCGTTACATAGAAACACCTGGTATTACGTTTGCTATTGGTATGCACAGTAACAGACATGTATACATATATACATTATACCCGAACAGACCAGAGACGTGGCGGACACGTTGCCTACTTCAAATTACTTTATATATCAATCGTATGAATCGGAAATGCATTCAACAGTGCTTTGGTAATAATTAGACAATACAATACTTTATCTTTACGATAACTTCAATTCTCATAGCCTATGAGATAAGACAGAGTTAAACAAGAAACCTACCTCCACGTTTAAGAAACGCAAGGGGGCCACTTTCCTGTGGCACAGTGTACAATCTAGCGCCATTGCCTCGTCCTTGTGCCTCAAGCAAGGCTCGCGCTCGCTGTAACAACTCGTCCGGATACATCCAATCCTGGACGTTCTCTGTGGAGGATCCGCCACCTTCACTCAGAGCGCCACCGAGACAAAAGGCCAAGATAATGCAGACAGCGGTCGCAACGGTTTTCATTGTCTATGTTGATTGTGTAACGTCGCTTGGGTTGGGCAAGAGATCACGTGATAATATAACTGTAATCGGGGCAAAATTAAGACACCGAGATATTATTCGTCTAATGCCCTTATGTTCGTCAAGTTTCTTTATAAAATTGCGGTGCTGCAACTACAGCTAACTAACATGCAGCACCCCCAATTAGACGCTGTTGTTCTTTGAATTCTGTCGCTAGTTTAACTCCAAATACTATATTTGGACAGCCATCCGAGTAAAGTTCCAATCAGTATAATTGTTCTCATACGACGAGCAGTATAGCCAAAAAGCTGCAATAATAACATCATCAGGTAGAGTGAAGAAAAAAATAGATATAAGTTTATGAAGCGAAGTTTGTCTCGTTAAGACAATTTAACTCACCTCAATTGGCAACAGCCAATATAACCGTCAGTTCACAATAAAATTTGTTTATCACGTCTCAGGCCTACGAACGAGTTTAGAGTTCTCTGTTCCTCCTTTTTTGATCTTATATATATATGCACCTTATATGTATATACATATGTGTGTGTGTGTAGACCGAAAAAGCCTTCCACTCGGGGCAAAGAGCGAAAGGACATGTGTATGTGGGTTTCGAGATCTATTCGAGTGTATGTGCCCAGAATGTGTGGACAAGTACACTCGAGTAGATGCTCTCGAGAAACTGTGTGTGCGTCGTCGTCGTCGTCCCCCCCAGAGGCACACCCGAAGACTTTCATTGCTGCAGCTCTACACATACACCCGAATAAACAACATTTAATTCAATTGTTAGCTTGGATAGGCTAATTCGGTAACATGGCGAAAGATGCTTTTTCGTTCTGACCGCCATGTGCATTTAAAAATATTTGTCATCATAGTCCATGGTCACAGTATAATAAATATAAATAAAACACATTCCGATTCATTATCTAGTTAATAATTTAATTATTTACATTTATCTTTTTGATCGTTCGATACACATTAAGTCACAAATTTGGATTAAAAAACTATTACTCATATGGATCAATTATTATTATTTGAAGTACCTATTTACACTATTTAGGTTGGAGTTACCTGGCAAGAACGTTACCGACTTTTCATTAAAGAAATCTCGTTTGAAGAAGCTGTATGAAGTTATGACCGTGATTTAATAAACAAAAAACTCATTTTTGACCCGACTTATATAAAATGCATAGTCTTGACCTGAAAAAAACTCAAGTTTTTTTCTAGCTATGAAATGAACTAGATGGATTGTAGCTAGCTTGACTCAAACATTGCCTATAGGGTTAAGTGTGTCAAATACGTACACAAAACTTATAAAAAAAAAAAAGAACAATGAAATAGGACCGATTACGTCTTTTTTCTATACAGGAACCACACACCCAGCTGGTCCAAGAGATTCTAAGCAGATGCTTTTCATTTCACATCTGTTGAAGGAATAGAAGAAAACGTCAATTATTGTTATCAAGAGCGGATTTAACTGTTTACCATATTTATAACAAGAATAATACGGCCCCTATAGTTCTCATAATATCATGTCGTGGTAGGGTCATTCGTACTAGATGATCAACTCGAAGCGTTTAAATTGTGCTACATGTAGTGTACCACTGTTAATTTTTACGATGTTACATGAGGAGTTATCGCGATAGTCTTCGACGAACGAATTCCAGATGAAGGGATGTGTAGGTTTATCGCGCAAAATCAACAAATGGAGGGCAAAGGATTGTCGGCTATAGGTTGAGACTTTCTGCTTCTCTTGTCTCGATGTCCTCTGAGCGCGAAGAGATTGTTCTTACTTAATGTCTATATCCAATAGTATACCTAGAAAGGCGATAAGTGTAGACTACAGGTAAAAATCGTAAAGTGATCCCGGACGCATGTCGTATGTGGCGTCCCTGAGCCTTTTGAGCTCTAAAATCGCAGATACCATAGTTTGTGCAAAATTTTGTTTCGTAGCTAGCGACGCTATATTTCGAACTCAGTTGAAATATACATTGCATATGATTCATGTTCAGAATGATGAGCGTCGCGATGAACTTGCAGTTGACGACCGTGCTTAGTTCGCAGGTCCGTTCGTATTGAATCTGGGGCGAACGAAAATATCTGGCTAGAGGGCTGCCCCATTATTATATTGGAAAGGTATGGTAAGAGATGATCGGTTAGTTGAATTAGCTAATTAAAAAATATTCTGTGATTATATTGTGTAATATCTTGTATCATACACGGTGTTAAAATACTTCTAGGCATATAATATTAAGTTGTGTCTGCTATAAATGTGTTGCATAGGCTTTTTATTACGATAATTTGCGTATCTTCTGCTGCTTTAATGAATGTAAAATGAAGACACTCCAACTGTTCAAAAGTTTTTCAAATTGCACAGTTACGTTTGGGTCACTGTGCATATAGCATGTATTTTTATGGGAACATATTTTATGAAAATGTGCAGATGGACAGGATATATCTTAAATACTAATTTAGAACCCGACCTAGTTTTAACATTTGTTTGTGAAAGCACAACTTTCTCGTGCAGGGGTACTTGTGCTATTTTTGGATCACCATTGCTTAAATGTTTGACAAACTTCAAATATTCCCCCTTCAAAAACTATAACCGTGCTTCCAATAGAATGGTATACGTTTTTAAAAGGAAGCATATTATTTCCTCGAATAGATTCAGAGACAAAGAAAACAGATGGAAGTTTAATGAAGCAAGCTTAAAGTTACACAGCATACCAAAGCTTAGAAGCTGTTTCGACATAGGTAAAACCAGCACCCAGAATCACCGTTGTATCTATGCAGGACATACACTTCCTAGGGAAAAACTGTTTTTCTTTTTTTTTTTTCATCAATATCACTTCTGATCAAGTAGAGGTGTAATGGTTGTGCCCTGCATTTACGATTACGACCGTAAGTACAACGTGGATCCGGCTGACCAACAAACGCCAAGGAAAATATCTGATAGTAGCAAATGGATGGATACAAGCGGTTTTGTCTCATGTGTATAGAAAAATCAACCTTTCTACCACTTAAAAAGTTGAAATACAGGTCAAGGCAAAAAAAAAGTGAAACAAACGTAAATAAAACACCCATAATATACCCATAGAAACACCCATATTATTACACATATTGCTTTGAAAAACATTTTTTAGGAAAAGCCTCTTCGAAATGACTTAAAATCTGTTTAGTTATTTTCTTAATTATTTGGTTTAACTGGCTTAGTTGTTACTTGGGCGGTTTTAATCAACCATTTTTTATTTCCGATAGTAATACTGATTAGAAAAAAATGCCATTTGTAGATAGTAATTAAGCATTGTGTTCGTTGGCCTGGAACTAAAACTAAATGTTTGGTATTTAGTTTTCGTATTCCCCCAAGTTACGTAGTACGCATTGTTAATGCGTCACGGGGCGAAGAGGGGGGGGGGGGAGAGGTAGGCCGCGTAAAAGTTATTGAATTTCCGGCGAACCAATCATGTATATACGTAGACGCTACTATAAGTAGGCGGCTTTCTGTTTGAAGATGTGTAGATCGCTCGTAGCATATCTACTCTGGGGAATAAACCATATGAAAGTCAGTTTTCCGTTCCCTTTAGTAAACTTCGGGTTGTCAGGCAACCGCGGGCCTACGAATTGAATTAATAGGGGTCAGGCGACGTGTACGTCTCAAACACTATCGTGTTCAGAACAGAAAATACTATCTGACTGAGTCTGACTATAACTGAGTCCGAGAAAATTCGAGTTCTGAACTTCACAATAAAACCTTTTTATAATTTTTTATTATTATGTTTTCAGTTATCATACCCAGTAAAACCGAGAGGCCGACTGTCAGTCAGGGGAGTTAGGTAAGTTCACGTACTCACTTCCCTGATGATTGCCGTTGAAAAGACGAACAGATCGAAAAAAAATGGCATCAAGTACATATATATGTTTGTAATGGCTACTGCAAGTATTCAGCGAATAGCTGGCTAATTTGTATATGTTTGAGTCCGCAGACATGGATGGTCTGAATGGTCCAGAATGCCAGTCCTTATAAAGCCATGTCCATCTAGTTCCTTTTGCCTAAAAACATCTCAGATGGGCCTTGACTTATCCTACGGTAGAATATCTAAAGCAGGTAAGGGGAGTTACGTTTAACTGCGAGTATGCACCAGCATGTTTGACCCTTATCAGGTAAGCACACGTTGCGCCATCTGGCCTGTTTTTTGACCAAATACAACTTAAACAAAAAGCTCCTCTATTCAAAGCTTAATTTTTGCAATCGTAACTGACGCGGAGTATATTGAAGAATATTTTTCACAGTAAAGATGATAACAAATTACTTGAACTAAGTGGCAGACGTGTAGTTAAAAAAAATAATATTACTTTTGTAAGCGTAAGTTCGAACTGCGTATTTAAACGTACTGCACGTTAGAAAAATAGATTTTAAAGGCACCAAACTGTACTATTAAATCAATAAAAAAGAAAGACATGTAATGGATATTTTAAAATGGTTCAAAAAAAAGTGGAGATAAACATCTTAAAAGACGACCCCTGTCGGTGTTCCCCTAAAACTATTTCATCGCGTTTCAAAATCGCTTGTGGTTTGGGACAACAAAGCCAGAGAAATAAAATATCGTAAAAACAAACGTTTTTCACCAATCCATGCTCCATCACTATGTTGTTGGTGTCAGAAACCTACTTCTCTTTTATAATACACCAAGTTCGAGCCCGGACGTAGACACACTTTGGGAGCCAGCCGTCTACTGGAATGCCCATGGCGATACCGGACGTAAAACTCAAAACATAGAGAGGCGTCGATAACTAACTCAACCAATTGGTATGGTTAAGAGTAATTTTAGGTAACATATTGTATACCACATACGGATTTACGCCTAGAATAACATGAGAGAATGCTAGTGAAGACATA